CCTACTTTACCCCTACCACCGGTTTTCCATTGATCAATCGCCGATCGATAGAATTTAGTGTTGGACCCAAACAAATCGGGATTTATGAATGACTAGCTCGGTCTATTTATTAATGTCTGAGTAAAGCATAACCGATGAATGAGGCTCCAGCAGGGGATAGAAAGGGGCTTACCGGAACAGGCTCTGCGGCCGCAGGGGGCTGGGGAGCGCCACCAGCGTTGGATGAAGGGGCGCTGCCCCCAAAACGTGCCAGAGCTCAGCGCTACGTAGCGATGTAGCTGAGGCTGGATCGGCCAGCACTGTGAACGTGTGCCAATGCGCTTGCAACAGCAGCCCTCTTAAGGCTTGGACCAATTCTCGCCCGGTTGGAGCGATGTGGACTTCAGTCTTGCTGCCTTCCTGGAAAAAAACACACCGAGTAGTAGCGGGTTTTTTGGTTCTAAAGTGGGAGAAATCGATTTTATTTGAAAAATTGCCCTGCTTGTAAAGGGAATGTCTGATAACAGCAGCGCTTCGGAGATAAAAGAAAGAACATGATTTGCATGCGTCTTGCTTACTTTTGCAGAAGTTCAGGCTTCAATGTAAAGAAGCGAAGCAAAAAAACGCCAGTTTGGTTAAATTTCAATTGAGGTTTTCCAGTTTCATTAAAACAGCGCAGTGGCGGGACGTGCAATACAGAAGAGTTTTCCCTAATTTAAATCATTGTCGTCTAACAAATTTCGGGGGAATTTATGCGGCAAAAGCAATTTATCAGGATTTCATCCTTTTTAAAAGCCGGCCCGGATGCGGGGCTAAATGCTAAATCCCAAGTACATAGCAGGGAAATTAAAATTTGGTTTTTAAAAACGATCCGCCCATCCCCATCCTTTGCAAGGGCTTAAACCCCCACTCTCTTATATTAATGTAATAAATCATTTCCAAACAGCATTTCATAGAATAGAAAAGAAAAGATTTCAACTTTTTTTGCACTTTTCTATGTAGAATATCGCAAAATATGCAGGAGGATGTTTCCAAATCAACACCTGGTAAAATTTTTGCAACTTTTCATGATAGATAGTTGCACTTTTGTAAATACTTTGTGAGTACCTATAGTTACTCCTTATTGAAAATTCAGATACTTGTCATTGAAAATACAAATGACTTTTGGTAAAAAAGAAGAAGAAGAATAAAGTTATTTATTCTTCTTGTTGTTGTTCAACAGTCCGCTTCCAATGCCAGAATTGATATTTTTCTAAGGTCTGGGCGTTTTTGTTCACAGCCGCTCAATTGGCAGAAATACTTGAATTTCCCGCGCTTTACTGCCCAACGACTTCAACAAACCAACCTCACTTGCCAGCATATGCGTCACTTTGACGTCTGCTGTCATACTGATTTGTTGTCTTGTGTACGGGTTTAGAAGCGGCTAATTGTAGCCCCCTTGGAATACAACGTTGCCAGTATCTAATGTTATGTCAGGTTGTTCCGTAAATATGTTAAAATATTTTAGCAGCGTGTCCTCCTAGTCATTTTAGAGGGGAGTCTTCCTCAGAATTTTTTTAATTTGAGGTCTCATTTTCGAGATATTTGATCTCCAAAATGGCGAAAAATATTTGTTTTCGTTGTTTGTCTTTAAAATGGTTAAACATTGGGAACGTAAATTTTGGTACACATTATAAGATGATTGAAGGCCATTCTATGGTAGTGTTTTGTAGTTCAGTTTACTTTTATACAGGGTGGAAATGTGGAACTCCTACTTTTGTCTTGTTCAGAACTTTTTTGTGTGCACTTAAACTGTTATCAACATAATTTTTTTAATTACTACAAGTTATTTATCAATTTTTTATCGCTTATTGTTTTTTCTTAAGGACACTAGTTTGCCCGCAAAAAAATTAAATCGTCTCGGCTTAATCAAAACTTTCCAGGCCGTTGGATTGCTAGAGGTCAAGAAGCTGCTATAAACTCGCCTCCTAGATCTCCCGATTTAAACGCGATTGATTTTTACTTCTGGGATCATTTAAAAAGTACGGTATATTCACCAGAAGTGAATACAATCGAAGAACTTTAGAAAATATTTCTGACGAAATGAGAACTTCAGTGCAAACTTTACGGTCTGAAAATTTTAATTTCATTAAAAGACTGCTGCTAAGTTACCATTAGAATGGTTATTTAAATTTAATTTTGTTTGTTTATATCGTTGCGCATATTGTTACCATGTTTTTATTTAAGTAAAATTTATTCAAACTATAATGCATATTATTTTAGTTAATTTTTTTTGATTCTTTCAACATTAGAAACCTTAAACTGATTTTTGGTAGACATTTTAAATCGGAAATAATTTATTTTATCGA